CCAAAATCTAAACTGTGTAAATAAAATAAATAAATAAATTTTGTTGCAATTATTTAAAAATTATAATACATACTTCTGATTGTTTTTTTCGAATGGTGTTATTTCAACGCAACCGACATGCCTTAACGAAGATTTTCAGGCTTGATATTCACGATCACCTATTACATATTCTTTTGAATATAAGATTCGTAAAGCTAATCGTAATTCAATAATGGTATGTTCGTGTAATATCCAGTTCTGAAACAGTTTTTGCCAGTTAACCTGTGTGCTAGTACGTTGTTTGAGATGATATTTATACGCTAATATCATCAAATGTTCATTGGTCCAATCTGATAATGAACAGGTAGGAATATTCTGAATAAGATTTTGAATGTATTAATTATCAAGTCCAAAAAGCTGATAACCCTTAAACTGTTTTAGATAACCAACTTGATTCCAAACAGAATCTGGATCACAACCAACAAACGTTTTCCTAAACCTATCTTCCTCTGTGTATATTATAATTCTGCATTCACTGAATTCTATTTCTTAAAAAAAAACACTGTGTTGTCTATTATATGAGTAAATAAATACTGACTTGAACCTAGATCCAGTGAAGTTAAACTTTTCATTATTTGATTTTCCAACTCCAAGTATCCATATTCGTAATTTATTAAAAGAGTAATTAAAAACTTGAAATAGCAATTCGTGAAAGTACTCTTGAACAACTTCAGGTGTATCGTAACCCATAACTTCTGGCCCTGAAAAATTGGTTTTTGTTTGAAAAATTTTTTGATATACCATTGTAATAGCCATACTAGGCGCCTTACAAATCTCGCTTTGAACACTGTCATACTTACAAATATAACTTGGATGCAGTCCAAATTCAGATTCTATTTGCCCAACCTCAATAATAAAATCATGTTCATTTATAGTTACTAAAAGTTTAGATTGGATACGAATAGGGTAAAAGTGACAAGGATTATTCATTTTTTCTGATGGTCTCGAAATCCACCAATTGTGACAAAAGGGTCCATAATATAGTTCTTCGGCCAAGTGGCCACGAAAAATTAAGGTAATTGTATATTTCTTACATTTTGTCATTATCAAAAAAAAAAAAAAAAAAGCTCTAATTTCTATATATATGTATATATGATATATATATATATATATATATATATATTT